TTTGTTGTAGTGTGCAAAGTACGCATTAAAAGATGTACGCATATCACGCTGCGCCTTGGTCCACTGATTACGACGATCGTGACAGAACCCTTATGTTGTGTTTACTCTCCTCACTGTATTTACTCTGCTTACTCTCCTCACTGTATTTACTCTGCTTACTCTCCTCACTGTATTTACTCTGTTTACTCTCCTCACTGTATTTACTCTGCTTACTCTCCTCACTGTATTTACTCTGCTTACTCTCCTCACTGTATTTACTCTGCTTACTCTCCTCACTCTATTTACTCTGTTTACTCTCCTCACTGTATTTACTCTGCTTACTCTCCTCACTGTATTTACTCTGTTTACTCTCCTCACTGTATTTACTCTGCTTACTCGCCTCACTGTATTTTTGTTCTTACTGTATATGAGTTTGTACCATCACTTTAGTCTCTCTCTCTCTCTCTCTCTCTCTCTCTCTCTCTCTCTCTCTCTCTCTCTCTCTCTCTCTCTCTCTCTCTCTCTCTCTCTGAACGGGCTAAGCTGGGAGTAGGAAGTGCGTGGCGCCGTCGCGCCGTAGGCAGATCGCCGTACAATAGGTGTGGTAGCGTTCTGATTAGCGTCCGTTTAGTGCCATGCCACAGGGCTCTAATCTGGCCTCACGCCTCACCGCACGTGCTCAATAGAGTTCGCTTCCTCCATCACGACATCATGTCTTTGTGTGAAATCCCAGCGCCATTCACGGGCCCACTGCAGGGCTTAGAATGCCTGCGGCCACCATACCAACACACAGCGCTTTAAAGGGAGTGCCCCAGTGCCCCAGCTACCCAGAGTATACAGCACCATGGGCCCGTCTGCTCTGGTCACTCTCCTTGGTCTCTGCCACACCTGTGTGTTCTGCAGTGATCTCCTTTAGGGGGTTGTTCTCCTGGGGTTGGTGGTCTGCTGTGATCTCCTTTAGTGGGTTGTTCTCCTGGGGTTGGTGGAGAGGAAATGTGTATCATAACCTTTTGCTTGGGATTTTTCTATGATTTTCACATCTGAGGATGAGTGGCAGGCACATCACGACCGGCCTCCTTATTCTGGAAGCGCAGAAAACAATTTCCTGAAATATCCACTAACTTGACACCTGAGGTTCTGGAAGTCTCATCAGTAACATATACAAAAAATTGAATCAAATCAAATGTTATTTATCATATGTAGACTAACAGTGAAATGCTGATTTATGTGTCCTTTTCCAACAATGCAGTTAAAGATAAAGAACAAAAATCTAGAAATATTGACATGAGGAATTAATACACATTGAATAACGAATAACAATAATGAGTAAAAATAACATGGCTATCTACAGGGTGTACCAGTACTGAGTGGATTTAATAATTTAATAAGTAATAACACTTGTTCTATGTGATAAAGGAAGACCAGGATTAATTTTGTTTCTTGGTTTTGTCCGGAAATAGCCATTATTCTTGTAGTAATAAACATGTGGTAAATTCCTAGGTCAAAAACATTCTGGTTATTGCTGTACTGCTGTTCCAGTAAGTTTGATCTTGCTATACAGACTTAGAGACCAAGTACCCAACTCATTGACACTACCAGAGACTGAAGACCCAGGTTATGGGGTCCAGTCCACAAACCAATGATGTCACACAGGGCATGATCACTTACTGGTTGGAGGAAATCCCAATGGAGAGCTTAGTAAAATGAGACAGGAGATGTAGTGGTGTAGAAAGGAGTTGTGGCTTGCCTCCACTATTGACTAGTGCTTCAATGGTACTGAGTAAGACAATCCGTTTAAGGCCCAATAAAGTATTGTTGTTATCTAATGATTCCTCAAAGTTGTCAATTCTAACTGTCCTTACAGGTGTGTGGTTGTCGGCACATCTCTATTTAGCTTGTAATATTGGATGGGGTTAAACTACAATGGAAGAACTTTGCCCTAAATGTACAGTAAATCTCCTGTTGACTACATGGAGCGACTCTGGGTCATGAGAATGAGATTGTGCAGGGGAATTTAATTGTGTAAATCTAAATAAACGTTCTGTCTAGGTTGCATAAAACATTGCCCATTGACTGCGACATAACCACTTTTCCCTTCCGTTGAATTGATGCACCAACGGCTTCATCTGGAGCACAATATTTCAACAGTTTAGATAACAGACAAACACTTCCTTTCTTCAAATAAACCTTTCCCACTTCTGAGTGTGGTTTGTATGTACTGTATCTGCCATCTCAAGTCTTGGCTTGATGAGAAGTAGGACTGTGGTGTCCAAGTTGGAGGACGCTCATGGTCTAAGTTCAAAATTCAAATATGCAGTTATACAGTAGTACTGTAATCACTTATTTGTGATCATAAAAAGTGCACGCCACTGAAAATGCTCATGTTTATGGCACTAATATATCTCTCTCTTAAAGGGAAATGGAAAAGGAAAGGGGGATATCTAGTCAGTTGTACAACTGAATGCATTCAACTGAAATGTGTCTTCTGCATTTAACCCAACCCCTCTGAATCAGAGAGGTGCGGAGGACTGCCTTAATCGACATCCACGTCATTGGCGCCCGGGGAACAATTAGCCACTGACAAGTTGTGCATTTTAGTGTATGCCAGTCTGTGAGCATGAGAATGTGTGTGTATGCATGTGTGTGCGTGCCTGCGTGCGCTTGTGCATGTGTGTGCCTGTGCATGTTTCTGTTTGTATGTGTGTGTGTGTATGTGTGTGCCTGCGTGCGTGTGACAGGTGATAAACATGCCACTGCGCCCCGCTGTATCACCTCCAGATTGATGATACTCTGGCCTCTCTTACTGCCTTGCCGTTGTTGTCACCTGCTCTATAGCTGAGCTCCTGAATCATGTCAACAACAGAGTCAGAGAAAAAGTTGCCTTGCTATGTATGAGTGGGGGGTATTTGAGTTAGACTGTTTGAAGCCCAATGCAATTGTGTATGTATCTTATTTTAATTGTATTTATCTTCCTGTGCAAGGTACTGGGTTGAGATAAATACACTGTAAGAGAACGTTGTGGAGAGTTTTAGAATACATCAAATCCATGAAATTCCATGAAATAATGTCATTTAATTTGACAAAACAGTTGCAAATCTGTTACAGCGCTCATACATTTTCGTTTTGAATTAGCATATGATGTCATGATGTTGTAGACATTACATCATCTGCAAGACAAGTTATACTGTAGATCGAAAGATAAAACCAAGCCATAAAGGGTTGACATTTGTGTTACCTATTCCTGGAAAGATGGGGATGTTTCCAAAATAGAGTCCTGTCTATACAAAGTTGAAATTCTTCACATTCCAGACAGATAATTAAAACCTATGACACTGACTAGCTATGGTAAGTGTAGAACATACACATGACATGATCCTTACTCAGTTCATAAACCAGTCACACATGTACCAAAGTAATGTAGATGAAAACTGTGAATCCTCATTACAGTATTGTTTTCGTACTTACCATCTATAGCCTTCCTGTCTACTATGATGTCACACTGTGTTGTCACTCTGCTTCCTGCCTTGGGTCCTTCTAAAATGTGAGTATACCTGTAAATACACTTTTTTTATGACCACTAAATTCACTGTTAACTAGATTTTTTCTGAAGAGATTAAGTTTACTATTCCAAAGTCAATCCAAAGCATGCCACATATAATATACTGTCAATTGTATAAGAATATGAATGGTCATAATTTAAGTTATTTGCTAAAAGTAAGGCTAGAGAAAATACTTTCGCTCCACACTAGGCTATAACACTAGGCTACCACTCAGGTTGCACAATGAACAGCGATGACAATATATCCCCACTCAGCTGTAAAATAGAACCATATGACCATGGATGAAATGACAACAACCAAAAACCCAGTGTAGGTCCATGAGGACATTCAGCCCCCTGCCCGCACTTCTCACAGAGTTAAAGCCTGACTCTGTCTCTGCAGGTTGATAGTAGGACAGTGGCCAGTGGTAGGTTAGCTGCTGTGGCAGCTTTGGCTCTCTCTCTAACTCTCTCTTTCTATGTCTCTCTCTCTCTCTCTCTCTCTGTGTGGAGGGCTGCAGTGAGGCGGGCTGCAGAGGGGGATGCACCCTGTGCCCTGGCTCTGCGGTGTCCATGTTCCTTTGGGAGCCTCAGGCCGGCTCCCATACATCCCCACATCCCCTCTCTGGGTCTGTTGATCCTATTGTCTCCTGCGTCACCACGCCTCGCCTGGCGAATAAAGGCCGTCTGGCTCCAAGCTTAAATATTGCAGCAAACGAAAAACGAACCATCAGAGCTGATTCATTCACATCTGCTCAGTGGGGCGACAAGGACAGGGCTTTAGGTGGGAAAGAGGGCAGAAAAAAGTTAACTTTTCCCCGGGTGCCAAGAGAACGGGACAGGACACTACGACTTCGCCGGAACCGCAGCTGTGGCAAGTTGCCCATTTGATAACGTTTAACCATCATACCTTGCAGATGTAAACACTTGGGTTATGGGTGTGTTATTGCTGGTTTTCATGGATGGTTGATTTGGTAGCATTTGGTGGCTAGTGGAATGGTGCTTTAGCGAGACTACAGCAAGACCATTTTGATTTGTGTTTCTGTTGTAGTACGCCATTTAGCTGATTATTTTATCAAATGGCGTTGGATTATTATGGACAACAAAGAGGAACATGCAGAGTACAAAAGTTCTAAAAGGCAGTTCATTTTTAAGCTGTGTACCTTGTGTACTGTACAGACCTTGTGTACGGACTGTAAATTGACTTTACCGCAACGGCTGGCTGTTATGTCGCCATTATATTGACATGCAACAGCTTTTCAGCAGCAGGACTAAGTTTCGCTGCTTTCCACACGTCTGTTTTTAACACCTATCTCTCTCTCTCTCTCTCTGTTTCCTCCACCCTCCCTGTCGCCCCTGCATCTCTCTCTCTCAGTTTCCTCCACCTTCCCTGTCCCCCTGCATCTCTCTCTCTCTCTCTCGCTCTCTCTGTTTCCTCCACCCTCCCTGTCCCCCTGCATCCATCCATTCATTCTATCTACAGCGCTACGGACCTATCATGGGTGACTGGAGCTTTCTGGGTAATATTTTAGAGGAAGTGAATGAGCACTCGACGGTGATCGGCCGGGTGTGGCTCACGGTCCTCTTCATCTTCCGCATTCTCATCCTGGGTACGGCGGCAGAGTTCGTGTGGGGTGATGAGCAGTCGGACTACGTCTGTAACACACAGCAGCCCGGTTGTGAGAATGTGTGTTATGACGAGGCATTCCCCATCTCCCACATCCGCCTGTGGGTTCTGCAGATCATCTTCGTGTCCACGCCGTCTCTGGTGTACGTAGGCCATGCCGTGCACCACGTCCACATGGAGGAGAAACACAAGGAGCGCGAGGAGGCCGAGCTGAGTCGCCAGCAGGAGCTGAGCGAGGAGCGGCTGACACTAGCGCCAGACCAGGGCAGTGTGCGCACCACCAAGGAGACCAGCACCAAGGGCAGCAAGAAGTTCAGGCTGGAAGGCACCCTGCTGAGGACCTACATCTGCCACATCATCTTCAAGACGCTGTTTGAGGTGGGCTTCGTGGTGGGCCAGTACTTCCTGTACGGCTTCCGCATCCTGCCGCTGTATAAGTGCAGCCGCTGGCCCTGCCCCAACACCGTGGACTGCTTTGTGTCGCGCCCCACAGAGAAGACTGTCTTCATCATATTCATGCTGGCAGTGGCCTGCGTCTCCCTCTTCCTCAACTTCGTGGAGATTAGTCACCTGGGCCTGAAGAAGATCCGCTTTGTCTTCTGGAAGCCGGCACCGAGGCCAGCCCAGGGTGAGGGCCCAAGCCCCCTGCCCCCTCCAGGGGGGGGCCTCAAGAGCCTGCCCCCCGTGGCCGTGCCCTCCTTCCAGAGGGCTAAAGGCTACAGGCTGCTGGAGGAGGAGACCCACCTCTACCCCCCTGGCAAAGGCGTGTATGGAGGCAGGGAGGCTAATCCCTCTGGCTCCGCCCTTCCAGTGCATGAAGGAGAAAGTGGAGGAACTGGGGAACATGGAGGACATTTCGAAGGTGTACGATGAGACCTTGCCCTCCTACGCCCAGACCACAGAGATAGGGGAGGACACACTACCACTACATCAAGAGGAGGAGGAGCAGCAGCAGGAGGTGGAGGAGGACAAAGAGGAGGAGGCGGTGAAGGAGGTGGTGGAGGAGGATGTGGTGGATGGGGTGGTGGAGGTTGTGGTGGATGGAGTGGTGGAAGAGGATGTGGTGGATGGGGTGGTGGAGGATGTGGTGGATGGAGTGGTGGAGGTAGTGGTGGATAGGGGGGTGGAGTGGAAGAAAGAGGAAGAGCAGAGGGAGGAGGATGAAGAGGAGCGGGAGGAGGAGGATGTAGTGGAGGAGGTTGTTGAGAAGGTGGAGGAGGTGGTGGAGGAGGAGGTGGTGGACAGGGACGGGGGACCTCCAGCCAAGGTGGGGATGGAGGCGATGGATACGATAGAGGACACCAGACCACTGAGCAGATTGAGCAAAGCCAGCAGCAGGGCCAGGTCAGACGATCTCAGCGTATGAACCTGTGAGAGAACACACACACACAAACTTACACGCACACAAAACCGAACACAGGAGAACACACACATCTAGCTCAAGACAACACACACTTATTACCATTAGGACGTTGGTAACATCACTCAACAAGGCAACAAAAAGATATGTGCTCATTTGTGAGATAAGTGAATATTATAAAAAGTTGTGGTTTAAGAGAGGAGGGATAGATTTGTTTTATTAAGCGTGTTATATGAAACCAAATGTAGAAAGGACATGCCGAGAGGGGAAAAATATTTTTTACCTGATGAAAATCCATGCTGGTTTTAGAAAACACCTTTTTCTATCGAAAGAGTTTTAACAATAACCAATGAAAGATTACTAATGTTTACATATTCTGGGGGGTTGAATGGGTAGGGGGAAGAGATTGATCATATATTCTTGTGTGTCTGCAAAGCAGTAAAATTACTGTAGGCAGGCAATCACTTTAATATTTAGCTGCAAACATGTATGTCGCAGGTGGAAGGGCTCTTGCACACCAAGTCCTTGCACAGAAAAGTCACAGAGCAACAAAAAAAACGTATGACACTTTAACACCAAGTTGATAGTCCATTTTTGGATTGAAAAGAGCGTAACTTTTGCACACATTTCTTAGAGGATATAGAACTCTGTGCAAGGCCTACATAACCCACATATCACCTCAACTATGCATCGATTTACACTTCTTTCAATTGAAGGGAGATTTGAAATAATGTACAAGAGCATATCTCTCCTTTTCATGTTTAAATACAGAGTAGTACAGCAAAAAAGTGGAGTGGTGGAGAAAAACAAACCCCAAAAACCTAATGTTAATGGTCTCTTTTCAATGTGATTCTACATCTCATCTTTTGGATTGCTTATATCTTTCTTTGCCTATATAACGCAGAAGTGGGCACTGTGAAAATGTTGTCTGTCTGTGGAAAGAGAGGAGTGCTGGTTTTGCTCGATCACAGACTGAACCATAGTAACGACCTCAGGCCAAATCCTCTCTTTTCGCGCTGTACAAACAGGCGTCACGGCGATAAAGATCACGCACGATCAGCACAAAGTATTGTTGAGCCACAGACAATAAAAGAAACCACTCATATATGGAAATAAGCATCCTTGACATTGTTGTGGGGGAAAATCGTTTTACTTTATTTTACTTGCCCTTAATGTTCCTTTCCCCTGTACGAATATGAAATAGTTAGGGCAATGATTACAACATTTTCTAGGAAAAAACTATAAACTGAGAATCTTATTGTACGTAATTGTATCTGATGTCTAATAGCAAACATTATGTTGAGAACACTTAGTTTAAGTTCTGATATAATCTATAACTAAATTATTATTACTATGATGACTATCGTTAATTTATCCAATAGGGAAACTACCAGTTATTTATTTAAACACTAGAAAAAACATCCATAACGCTGCTACAGTCACTGTTTTGGTAGGGAAAATTAAACCTGAGCATTATTTCCATAATTACCAAAGACTTGCATTTCAGAACCTTTTGACCTGTCTTCTCTCTGTCCCAGAGATGTTTTATTTTGTATTTTTTTATTATTAAGTTGTACGAGAGCAGAAGTTTCTTAGAAGTACTTTTTCAAAATTCTAACAAAAACAATGCTCTATGAAAGGGATGCCTTAAAGTACGACTTACTTGTATCAAATATTTATCTATTTTTCTCTCTTGCACTCTCTGCTTTATTTAAATTGTTGGCTATAATGCTTTCTAGTGTATAATTTTCTGTGCTTTTTCTGTAAATGTACATTCTCAAATGTCTTTGTAAAGGTTAACGTGCTTACATTTCTCTGGGAAAACTGTGAATGTCATGTTTTAATGTCATGTTTTAGATATTTTTTCTTTAGCTTTCAAATAATCCTTTGTATACTGTATGCAAAATCCCCCTTATTTTTTTAGGAAAATGTAGAATATGTCTGCAAACAAGTGTACTTACTTCTCAGTCAGTCCTGTGCCTTAAAGCAAAGCATTGGGGTTGTTTAGTGCAGCAGTGTGTTTATCCAGCGGTACAGATTATAAAATGGTGCAGAAAAGCCACACACACAGACACACACACGCACACGCACATGCACGCATGCATACACACACATGCATACACATGTGCATGCAAACGCAACATACTTCCAGTGTTGGTTTTGGGGGTATGATCAAAAGGCTCTAGACAAACTCTGACAGAAAGGCAGCTTTGACCCCTTTGTGACCCCCAGACACTCCTTTGCCTCCCATAAGCCAAAGCTGTGACAACCTTGTGAATGAGACGACAGGCTTTTCACAATTGCAGAATAGTTTAGCACATTTCAGCACTGTAAAATATATTCCAAAACCAACATTTGTTCTGGTTCTCATGTGTTGTAATTGGTAAATTCATGTATTTGGTGCATGTGTGTTTTTGGTTTCAAACAGTTCCCCTTAATTTATTGTTTGTAAAACCATTTGATTAATCTTTGGAAAGAAAATAATCATTTTTACTAACTTGTAGTCCTCTTTGCTCCTAGTTGTGTGGCAGTATCATCTTTTGGAAAGTGAACCAAGGCAATAAAAGGTCACACGTGTTCAAGAAGTGTTGCATCATCGTTTCTATTCAAACTTCTCCCTCTCTCTCTCGCACACACGCACGCACACGCACACACACAAACAAACAAACAAACACACACACTGTGCTGATATCTGGTGCTTTGCAGCCTATTGCCACAGTAAATTACTATCCAGAGTATTCTAAATGTACATGGTTAAACTTGTATCAAGTATTAGTGAGTATCTACTGCCCTCTGTTGATAAAGATAGTGACTCAGTAATTTACGTTAGAAACAGCTTCACTAACTACTAAGCAATAAGCCCTGCTGACTGCTGAGTGGTTACTGTATGTACTGTTATCAGGTTACTTTGAAACATTAGTTAAAGAGATTGATGAATACATCAAAAGTGACCGCTGACCTGTATAGACCAAACGCATACCAGGTCACATGTTGAATATACAGTTGAAGTCGGATGTTTACATACCGACTTAAAACTCGTTTTTCAACCACTCCACAAATTTCATGTTAACAAACTATAGTTTTGGCAAGTCGGTTAGGACATCTACTTTGTGCATGACACAAGTAATTTTTCCAACAATTGTTTACAGACAGATTATTTCACTTATAATTCACTGTATCACAATTCCAGTGGGTCAGAAGTTTACATGCACTAAGTAGACTGTGCCTTTAAACAGCTTGGAAAATTCCAGAAAATGATGTCATGGCTTTAGAAGCTTCTGATAGGCTAATTGACATAATTTGAGTCAATTGGAGGTGTACCTGTGGATGTATTTCAAGGCCTACCTTCAAACGCAGTGCCTCTTTGCTTGACATCATGGGAAAATCAAAATAAATCAGCCAAGACCTCAGAAAAAACATTGTAGACCTCCACAAGTCTGGTTCTTTCTTGGGAGCAATTTCCAAAAGCCTGAAGGTACCACATTCATCTGTACAAACAATATTATGCAAGTATAAACACCATGGGACCACGCAGCCGTCATACCGCTCAGGAAGGAGACGTGTTCTGTCTCCTAGAGATGGACGTACTTTGGTGCGAAAAGTGCAAATCAATCCCAGAACAACAGCAAAGGACCGTGTGAAGATGCTGGAGGAAACGGGTACAAAAGTATCTATATCCACAGTAAAACGAGTCCTATATCGACATAACCTGAAAGGCCGCTCAGCAAGGAAGAAGCCACTGCTTCAAAACCGCCATAAAAAAGCCAGACTACGGTTTGCAACTGCACATGGGGACAAAGATCGTACTTTTTGGAGAAATGTCCTCTGGTCTGATGAAACAAAAATAGAACTGTTTGGCCATAATGACCAAACCAGTTCACACTTGTGACCATAATGTTATGTTTGGAGGAAAAAGGGGTTTGCTTGCAAGCCGAAGAACACCATCCAAATCGTGAAGCACGTGGGTGGCAGCATCATGTTGTGGGGGTGCTTTGCTGCAGGAGGGACTGGTGCACTTCACAAAATAGATGGCATCATGAGGAAGGAAAATTATGTGGATATATTGAAGCAACATTTTTAAAAACATTTTAGTCATTTAGCAGACGCTCTTATCCAGAGCGACTTACAGTTAGTGAGTGCATACATTTTCATACATTCTCTTCTATCGTAGAGAAACAGTGCCTCCTGTGCACGACTTTCAGTAAAGTACTCTTCTTTTTTATAAAAAAGTTTGTTGGCTCACAATTATGTAAAGTTGTATAAAAAAATTGTATCTCCTTCCTCATATACACTAACCTGATCCATAGGAGTCCTGGAGTGCAGTTAAACTTGCATTGTACAATCAAGACCCTCAAAACCATGTTGAAATGTTACTTCCATGGTCTGAAACGTAAAACCTTCACCTGTTTTAATTATTGTCATTCATGAGGTTTGGAAGGGAAGCTCGTTTCAAATATCAGTCGAACTTCAACACTTTTAAGCAAAATAAACATTTATGAAATCTCTGATAAATATATTGTGACCAACTAGATCAAGACGGAAATTTACCTGTTGGAGTACATGCCCTGTCAAGGGGGTAATAATCACTTCGAGGAAAAATTATATTTCAAGGTGTAATAAAGAAATAAACAGAACACCCAAATCCTTTTTCTCCCCTCAAAAAACAATCAAATGGATGTGTCTGTCTCTCTGGCAATACCTGATGCTTTTGTGACAGCTAACATTCCAAAGCCAAACCTGATGGAGCACAGCTACTCTTGAGGGTAAAATAAATTAATAATAAATATAATAATTATTAAATAGGTGTAGGTGTGTATTTACTGCTCCGATGCCTGTGGGGCGCTTCGTGGATCTGCTGTCTCCTTGTCAGAAATGTCAGAATAATAGTAGAGAGAATGATTTATTTCAGCTTTTATTTATTTCATCACATTCCCAGTGGGTCAGAAATGTACATACACTCAATTAGTATTTGGTAGCATTGCCTTTAAGTTGTTTAACTTGGGTCA